TGTGGTAAAAAGTTAAACCGAGATGGGCAGTTTAATGCTATGATTATTAACCACTATATCTTATCGGGAGCGATACGGAAACTAAACACAGAAGACAGTCTAGTAGATGGACAGATGCGAATTATTGAATTCTGGTGGGATGGAATAGGTGGATGGAAAGCGTGAGTGATTTAGTTTAATGATATTATTCAATTATAATATGATTAAACCTAGTTTTTATAATCTAACAATGAGGTTAAGACATTTAAATTAAACCTGAAACCCAGACCAGCCGACCAGCAACCCCTAGCCAAAACTACTTAAAGAGAAAAAGCCTTATATATTAAGAGAAAAATGAGTAAGGGTAAAATGTCAGAGAATAATTTTATGGATGAGAATTGCGCTAGCTTACCTGAAGGCTTAGTTTCAATCATCACTACTTACATTAATGGTAGTGAAGGGTGGCGAAGACTGAAACAATGTGATGCTTTAAGAGAATTACAAAGGAAATGGAAACCGTCTATTTACACTGAACGAGTAGGAGAAAGTAGATATTATGTTGAGATTCGCAATAAATGCTTAAAAGGTGATAAAGCGCTTTCATATGCGTTGAAACCACCAAAAGAATTATTAAGAATGATGAAGTATGATGAAGAAATACAGGTTGGAATAGTAGTTAGTTCAAAAATTATGTATAATAATAATATTTGCAACAGTCGTTCTTATTCATCATCTAAACAGAATAAGATTTCAAGTAGAGCGTCATTACAATACCATATTGAACAAGCAGTTGAAGAAACCAAACAGACTATGAAACGACACGAAATCATTACTATCGAACATGTTGCAATTGAAATTTATAGAAAACAGAAACAATGATTTCATGGCTTAATCATAATATTTAATTATAATATGATTAAACAGTGTAAACTTTTATAACCTTTCATTATACTGTAAATTCAACCTATAAAACATAACTAGACAATCACATAAAAATCACATAAAAAGAAGTTGTTAAGATATATTAAGAAATGGTTGTGAAGCAAACTATAATGAATAATTATGGAATGACAGAAGAAAAAGCAACAGAAGACTATGGTGAATTCTTCAAATGCAACAGATGTCTTTATGATAAAACAATTGATGAATTTGGAAATGTAAAAAGTGGAAGAAGATATAAATATTGTCAAGAGTGTAGAACAAAAATAAATAATTGTAGAGATAAACGTCAAAGAAACAAACGACCCACCAACACCCCAGAACTTGATAACTACTAAAAGGGCTACCTCTTTCAAATGAAAAAAATGTTTGCCCCTAGCCCAACAATGAACAAGGCGACAATTTACCCAAATGATTACCTTAACGAAAACGATAAATAAGCTCCCTAAAAACCCTCTTTTCAAAACGAATAAGGGGGAACACAGATTTGAGATGAACATAAAAACCATAACAGGCAACCATCAACAGACCACCCCCCAGGCCCCCTACTTTCTCCATTTTTTCCCCCCCCCCCCAACCCCCTACCCTATTCAGGGTTGGGGCAATTGGGCCAACCTCCTTTTGAAACAATGATTGAACACCTATTGTTTAGCAACCTCCGTGTGGTTTTCCCTCGCTACCTGGGCAGCCGCGAGGGCGCCCCATCCACCGGAATCTCCGGCTCTCCCAGCAAAGGCATTTGGTCGGCGCCCTGAACGCCTGCGAGCTCCTTCACATGGCCAAAGGCCTGCACTCGGCCGCAGGCCTGAGAAAGGTGCACGCGTCTGATTCTGGGATATGACATGCTACAGACAGGGAGCACGAGGGCTTTTGTAAAGCGGTGTAGGATTTCTTCCGTCAACAGTATGGCCATGGAAAGGTGAAATGTGAGTTGTTGCTTTTTGGCTTGGGGCGCTTTACCCAAAAGCACATGCGTGATCATCTGTCACACGGGACAGAAGACCCCGAAGCTCAAAATACAAATCGCCATGTGGCCCGCATGGGCTGCAGAAGCTGGTCTTTCTGAATTCCAAGGAGCCTAAATGAGCTTGGGACAAAGAAGTCAGACGGTCACGAAAACGCGAGCGTTAGAAATGTCTGACGGATGGCAGCGGCCACGGGCCACACGCACACGCACACGCACACGCACACGCACACGCACACGCACACGCACACGCACACGCACACTCACCCCACACCCACACTCACACGCACACCCACACACACACACACACACACACATGAAATCACAATTATTGTGTTCACATGATGTGTTCAACTTTAACTTCCAGATAGATTGCATTTGCCCAGCACCATCACCAAGACTTGTTGAGGTGCTGCTCTTGCCAACGGAGTCTTCGCTTCGGAAAAATGCCGAGGCGCTGGGAAATACTGAAGCCCGAGTGCCGTCCCATCGTCCCCCGTCGTCGGCTGCTGTGCGGCGGCCGCCCTCAGGGGAGAGACCCGACGCAGCGTGCTGCGCCACGCCCGCGCAGCGGCGGCGGGAAGCCGTAGGAGCACGGCCATTCTACGAGTGCGGGCCATGAACGGCTGAAGTGAAATTGGGGAAAACCTAGGGCACCCCCTTCTCCATGTCTTTCAGGAAGGGTTCTTAGAAGTTAAAACCGAATGGGTTCTTATATAGAGGGCTTTCTGGTGGGTGGGGCCTCGGATGTAATTCCATGCTGACCCCGAAGCCCATTCTGAGAGCGGTGCCAGTTTTCCGCGGATGATCCCTTCCGCAGATTTCACGGGAATTACCGATGAATTGTCTGCTGGTTCTGGGCTTGAGCACACAGTTTCTGCAGCTAGGGCACGCTACTGCCCAGCCTCGAGCCAGCGCACACTGCTACCTGCTAAGCCTGGAGTTGCTGTGAAAACTGGAAAACATGATTTAGGCTGTTTACAATTTGTCAAGTTTGATCCATCATTGGATTCTCGCATGTTTATTCACCATTAAAAATGCAATATTGTATGGAATACACCCTGGATTTAGCCTATCTTACTCAGAGTTCCATGTATTTTGAACAAAGTACATGTCATGTACAACTTAAAACACTTGCGTTGTGTTGTTTTACGCATGTCCTGTGGTCGAATTTCTGGGTTTAGTTCAAGCTCGCGTGTCGGGGTATGACTATGATGTTGAAGTCTGTTTCAAGATGCAACTTATATGTTCCATTTCATGATGTTAATCATGTTGGCTATCATAACGGTTAGGTTTATCATTGCAGTGTTCGCGTGTTGTCATGCCATTTGTTTGTCATGGGGAGCGCATGCAAACTCCCTCGACCCAGCAATCACTGAAGACCATTGCTTGCAGCTTGAGGGCAAACTCAACGCGAGTTACCACTCACTTCCATAGCTGATGAGGAGCCACCTAGGCTTGTCGTTGAAAGTGTTAGGATTTGAAAATACATTTGTTCAGCGGTCACAAATGTTGGGGGCATGGTAGGATCATTTCTTTGGCGTTCCTGCCGGTTGGTGCGGAGATATATGGAGTTTGTCCGAAGCGTTTACTCATTTCCAAGATGGAGTTCGAGTTGCTCATGTTCGATTTGTGACTAGCCGACGGCTTTCAAGGTTTGTGTGTTTGCAGCAGCACAGAAGAAGAACGAATGATAGCCCAAATGAAAACTACAATGCTAATTTACGACAAACCAAATCGTTCCGGCAACAAACATGGTGAAGCACATGAAATTAAATCGTATAAAAAGAAAAAAACATTGTTTACTACCCTCAGTCTGGAGCTCTAATAATCTCAGAAGCCTGGAGGACAATACTCATCAGACGTCGAGGCTTGCGCCGTCTCATTCTGCAGACCATCTCGTGGTGACACGTCGGTGACCTGCGAGTCGCTTGCATTCCAGCTTCGTGCTTTTCTGCATTTGGGTGTGTCTGTTTTGGGGGCACCCCCCAGAATGATGCGTTTTCCTGTTTGATATTGATCCCATGCGAGACCACCAGAAAAGGGGACCCTCACGAAAAGACACGCCCATCTCAGCTGACCGGCTTACAGAACAATGTGATTGTCGAGAATTAGGGGGCCCGCAAAAATTGTGGTTATCCTTTTGGTTTCCCGTTGCATTCAACACAAAGTCAAAGTGGGTACCCTCAAAAAGAAAAAGAAAAAAAACAGAAGAACAAAAAAACAGAAGAAACACAAAAGTGACATGTGGCGCCCCCGGCTTGGAAGTTGTTCGGCCCTGCCATCCTTGGAACTATCTCGGCTAAGGGTCCCATCGATGAAACTTGCCTCAGGACCAAGTGGGTGTCGTCTGTCCTGTTCCTTTCTTGAACTGCAAAGGCAAGGGAAAAGCAATGGTGACAGTCGCGGGACACTTCCCGAGGGGCTTCCGAATACCCAGCCAACAAGGCTGGCAATATCATGGTTGACATCCGCATTTGACTTCCCGACATCCCAAGAAGCATCTGGAACCCTGCCTGCACTGTGGACACCGGCCGCCGCGCAAGGACCTGGCAGGACACCAATGTGCTCTCGTGCCTGGGGAATCGAAGCGAATCAACTGGGCAAGGAATGCCATTCACTTTTGGGGGTTGGTTTGCTCTTGTTAAGGGAACACTGAAGTTGCGGCCCCGCCTTGGCTAGACGCGGCGCACGGCGCCATGCCAGCATGGGGAAGATGTGAGATGCACGGGGTGATGAGTTGCATTCGCTGGCCAGTCGGCCGCTCAGGTGAAAATTGTCCAGTCGAATTCTTGGGCCCCTCATGGAATGGCAGCTCTTGAGGCGCTGTATTAAACCAGAATCAACAACAAATGTACGCAGCTCCTTCGTGTCGCCTCCAGTTATCCAAGCTGCTGCCTGACTCCATTGCTTGAGCCGCTGACGTGGGCCAACTTTCAGTCCTGTAACACAATCCAGCAACGCACAAGGACTCCCCATCTCAAAACAACACGGCTGGGCACCTAATTCTCTGAATCGGACCGGCAATCGGACAAACCAGCTGCAATGATGCTGCGCAACCCCATGCCGTTCAGTCACGCAATGCCGGAGCCGTTCGAAGCTCCAGTGAAGTCCCCAGCCTTTGCGCTGCTCCACCAGCCCGAACTCCAGCCGGAGTCCCACCTTGCAAGGCGCTTCACTTCGAGCGGCTGCAGAAACCCCGCGCCGTCCATGCCTGAAAGACCTGCGGCTAGCCGGCTGGATCTTTATGAGGGTCACCGCAGGCTTGAAAGAAGCGGAAGCAGCGGATACCATATCAGCGCCAGGAATATCACCAGCCAGGGAGTCATAGCTTGAGAAGATCATTTACGGACACTCTACACTCTTGCTGCTTACCCACAAAAAAGAAGAAGAACAAAAAACACACAAATCGAAATTCTGCCAGCGGGAAAACCAATTGAAGAAGCGCCGCTTGCTCACACTTTTGTGTTCGACTGACTTCAAGGCATGCTTCCAGACTCGAAGGTTTTGGAGTCCTTGAGAATGCTTGTGCCTGAAAAAAAGGGTCCTCCGCTGGAAACGCGCGTTGCCAAATGCCTATCTGGTCCTAAAGCTGTGCAAACACACATTTCATGCTACAGTGCCTTCTGGCACAGTAACCGCACAAATGAGGCACTTGACTCAGAAAAACGTGACGTCCCACAGCGGAACTCAAGCAAAGCCACCAAGCACGGCTTTGACATGTTCCGAGTGGCTTTTGCTCACAGGTTGTCTTGCGAAAGATTTCACCCCCCAAATCCATAAGCACAGCAACAAAGAGTGGTTTGACAATTACCGAGTTGAACACTTCACTTGGCGTAATTTTGTCCAACCACGTCGCGCCAGGGTTGGCGGCACTGGGTGGTAGTTCTTGTGTAAGATTCATCCAAGCTTGGGAATGCTTCCTGGTCGGCCATCGCGTTCACCCAACATTTCCGTGGATGCTTCAGCGCCTTTATGCTGACAGTTCCCTCCAGTTCTCCACAACCTCATTGGCCAGTGACTTGAAACCACGAAGGCTTGGACATGACTTCCTCTTGCACAGAGCCAAGTGGATTTCGGGTGGAAAAGCATGGGGGCGCACAGGGTCCGAAATCCCCGTCCGAGACCCGCTGCGGTCTCCAACTGGATCCTGCCGCGCTCACGGAAGCCACGACTCGAGCCGTGAGTGGGGACAACTGCGAGCAACGCATTTCATGGAACAAGCCACCTAAAAGTGCTGTCCCACCCTTCGTTCAGCGCACTGTTGCAGTTCTCTGCGCGCCTCTCCAATCTTCCGAGGTGCGGTCCTCCAGCCAAAAAAGCAACCGAATGCAAACAAAAACGTGGCTACCAATTGATTTGGTTGCATGGGGGCTATCCAAGGTACACGGTCCCCAAAAAGGCATCGGGGCATGTTCACTTGGAGTTGGGAACTTGGGCCTTGAGAGGGGCAGTGCCATACTGGACAGGCCGCTTTCAGAGCACTGCCGCACAGCTCTAGTCCTCTCTTCGCGGATGCGGTGAGGCAGCCCGAGCCTGGCGAAGCAAACCCTGAAAAGTAGTTCAGCCTAAAACTCATCAGAAACACAAGGGCAGAACAGAACTCCGTGTCCAAAAGTTGTGACGAACCTCCACGGTTGGGCAGAACGTGTTCCGGGTCCTTGGACCCGTCAGGAAACAAAAATGCCATGCCGAGAGGCATCTCGGCCCGGCTGCATTCCCCAACCATGCAGGATGTGCCGCTGAACCTCGCTCCTGGGCAGGAGGTTCGGCTCCGGTATCCTGCGCGCGTTAGGGCCGATAGGTTGAGCGATCTTTGGGCACGTGTACTACCCGAGGTTGGGATGCTGAGCTATGCAGTGATGCCAGCGTCATCTACGTTTAGTCTATGCGAATGAACGGAAAGTGCAATTCGTCGATATTGCTGGCATCACCGCCATGACCCTGCCATCGGTACATTTCTCAGAGCCCGAAAACACAGCTTGCCACTCGAGGAGCATGCTATTTGCTGAGTGCCGATGGAAGCCTGCTGGAGTGATGCCTGCACTTAGCTCTGCCCAAACAAGTTTCAGTGATTGCTTCAAATTCGCATGGCGAAGGCTGCGTTGCGCAAGCCTTGGAATTTTCATGGAGGGTAGCCCTTCACAAGCAACATGCACGTAGTATGCTTGTGCATCTTTTATGCCCATGTGCAAGCATCTGTCAAAATGTGTGTGTGCATGTCTGGGTGCGCGCACCTGAGCCCAGAATTGTTGGTTCTAAAAAATACCAAAGACTTTCGCAGGGCAGTCGAAGCCTCCCCAGACCTCATGTTTTGCAAGTTCCCTGTGAGCCGAGCCCCGAGCCACGATCTCCAGGGGCTCTTTCCACCGTACCTGGCAGACCCAAGCTGCGCTGCCTGGGCGATTCTCCCTTTTCGAACTTAAAGGCATGGAGCCTCAGGCCCCGCTCGGGACAGGTCACGTATACGCCAAAACTTGTATACATGTGTATTGTGCATATGAATATATATGTGTATGTGTGTGTATATATATATATATATATATTTTGCTATCCCCTGAAACCTCACCTTTTCGTCCATTTTACCAGCGTTCATTGGCACTGCTCATTGCATGGTGTCCTTGTTGATAGGGAGTCCCCCAAACCGGCCCTACAGCAAGTCTAGGTGACATTCCACGTGTCACAGGGAGTCCCCTTAGAGGAGTGGTTTCCCTACCAACAAGGGCTACCGTCAAATGCAAACACACACACACAGAGACACAGACACAGACACACAGACACACAGACACACAGACACACAAACACACAGACACACAGACACACAGACACACAGACACACAAACACACACACACACACACACACACACACACACACACACACACACACACACACACACACACACACACACAAACATGTCCTTGCGCTGCACAAGGCCACAATTGCCTTTCTGCCAAACAGCTGAGGCATATCACGCTGGCCCTAACCATGATCTGCATGCCGTCCATGCAAACCAAGCCCCCATGCAGCCAACGATGTGAAGAACTGGCTACAAGGGCCAGTTGATCGACAAATCGACGCAATCTATTCCAATGTTGAGTCCTGACACCGTGGATGAAAATCCAAGCACCGGTTGGGCTGGATGAGAACAAAAATTAAACTATGTGAATAAATACCGGGATAAACCACAAATCCCAACTGGGATTTGCTGGATTCGTCCATCAAGTCGGTACCTAATACAACAAAACGACAGTTGCTGACCATCGCACTTGGCAATCCAACCTACAGCCCGGGGGCACTCGGGTTGGAAGCTTTCGAGGGCCTGGACTGATCTTGCAAGGCGTTGCGGCTTCCATGTCAATTCTTCCCTAACATGGAGCCCCAAAAGGTCCGTTTCCCATTCAGGAAAGTCGACATGTTTGGGAGTTCGCTCCGGCCTTTGCTGAGGCACGGCGCTGGTGCCACGGATGTCTGCTGCCTCGCAGCCGGAGGGGAAGCAAATGGCTGATGTGGGTCTACCATGTCCTGACAGAAGCAAAACCTAGTGGACGATGGAAAAAGACAAGGCCTCTCAACGCAGAAATGGGTATCCCTTCCAACCACCAGCTAGTCATGTTGCAGTTGGGGTGCCGAAGCGCCTCAGGCGCGTCTCGATCCGCTCAGCCAAGACTGGAGACACCTGGCCGGGGCCGGGATGGGACCTGGGACTTGGAGATCCGTCCAATGAATCTATGGCATCGACATCCCCCCTACCTTCAGGAGGGGGGTGGGGGGTCCCCCATTCCATGTCCCTAGTCTTCCCCATGTAAGGGAAACTGTAACCACAAATGGAATTCCAGGGGTCACCCCCCCTCCCCAATTCCATTTTTAAGGGGGTGGGGATGCATCGACATGCGAATGGCATCCAAGCTCTTGCGAGGATGCTTAGGTACAAAAGCAATTCAAGAATGACTACCTTTGCACCACTGTCACGCTTACGGCCGCATGCTAGCAAAACAGCCAATAATAATATTTATATTACAATGATTGCTGTTCCGCGTCTTGTGTAACGTTGCGTTGCAATTGTATGTCAGTTTGTACTATTATTGGATTGTCTGGTCAATGTCTGGTTTGGATTAACTTCCATTACACAATGGAAAGCAGCCATAGGTTCGCCTTATGGCTTTGGGGGGATAAACCTTGCTCAACTCCTTGTAATCTGAAATTTGCACTCCTATTTGCTTCTATCTCAAGCGCTACCGCTCCGTGACTGGTGTTGTCTCCATGCAGCTTTGCATCAAACCTGTGGCCGGTTTGAACTGGTTTGCATCGATTTTGGCTTTCCTTTGGCCGGCTTCCCGCTTCCGCCCCACACCCACACACGCACAAACACGCAGGCACGCAGGCAGGCGGGCAGGCAGGCAGGATTTCACGCAACGCACTCACATATTTATGCAAGCAAGCAAGCAAGCAAACAAAACACACACACACAAAACCCAAACAAACAAGCGCACAAACACAAGAAACAACCAAAGCCAGCCCGCCTCGCAGGCAGGATGAAGCTGCAAGGGCCCCTGGCCCAAGGAGCCGTCGGGGCACCGCCTGAGGTTTCCGGGACCTTCAGGGACCTTTCTGGCGCAGCCTCCATCACAAAGATCCAACTGTTTCCACGTTTCGCAACAGTGGAAAAGCTGGAAAAGCGTGGCAAAAGGCGACGCCCCCTTGGTCATCCACACTTCCCTCGCCCTAAGGCTGCCCTTTTCTTTACCGCAGCACCCTGCCCATGATTTCCAGGTATTGTTTTTCTTCTCCTGCTTGCCTTTTGGGCCTAAAGGCTGTGTCGACACAAAACGCTTCGCTTCAGGACCCTTGCGGCCAAGGCACAAGACCCACTCCGTGAGAGTGCCCGGCGGCAACTGGTCTGCGTAACGAAGCCTGGAAACCGTGAGAGTGACCCCAAAAGCTGTATGTGCGGTTTTTGAAAATCTGCATCTGACGGAATCTGGTCAAGTCCCCGGCTGGGCTTTCTTGCCATGCTGGAAAGCTGAGCTCCCTGCACGTAAGCGTCCAGCAAGGCCTCCTGCACATGGACAGCAAAGGGGGCGGTTGCGGCTGAGATGAAAGGCTTGGCATGGGTGAGGGTAGAAAATAGGCACCCGAAATGGAACCCTGGCGGTGTTCTTTTACACATACCCACGTGGGCCAAGAGTGATAGTCATGATCCGAGTTCTGGCGAGCGGGCCATCTGAATTCAGCAGTACGCCGGTCTTGCTTGAGCAATTGGGTTGGGTGGCCAACCAAAGATCTGGCATGCTAATCCTCACACCCGCACACGACAAAGGTCCTCGGTGGACTCTTTCTGCTCCATGGCCGGCACATCATATCCGCCTTTGTAAAGAACAACAATATCAATGTACACCGACAGTTGTCGCATGCTCGGGCCATGAGGCATGTTTTGCAGAAGCTGCCCAAAGGCAAACAGGGAAGAACGCCCTGCAATTTTGATCACATCCATTTCGCCCGATCGACACGGCTGCCGTACAAACTTAAAAGGGGGTGTTTTTTGCGACATCTTGCACTGGTAATTTATCTCACCAATCAAGTCCAAACAATTGCGAGTTGCCGGCATGCTCGATTCTGCAAAATGCGCTGTGCGGCTTTTGCCTGGCATCCAAAGCTTTGAGCCACTTCGGTAGAACGTGATGAGTGCCGATTCACTTGAACAAAGGGAACACGACTCAATTGCATACGATAGGGCCAGTGCAGAGCACCAAATGCAAGCGGGTTGCAGGAATGCAAGGAACACTGTGTACAAATGAAAGGACTTCAGTTGTGCTGCTGGCAACGCCATTTCTCCAAGCTAAACGGTGACCTGGCAAACTGGTGGTTGTGAGCGTTAACCCCAAGGCGGCAAAAAAATGTTCTAAGAAAGAAAGACCACTTTCTGCTTGGACGAGTGGAATTGATTCCCAGGAGCCCAACGAGCTGCTGGAAAAGCAGAAATGGCAGAATGTTCTGGGTTCGGATCGAGCTGCCAGACCCTGGAAAAAGCCATTCTGGCACAAGGGCAAGCTCGGAAGAAACATATTCTTGCACGTGAGCTGCGCCTCATTCTGGAGTTCTAAATCTGAACAAGCAAAGTACTGGCTTCCGGTTAGCAAGCCCGCAACCGAGCCCAGAGATCAAAACGGTCGAGTCCCGGCGAAGCCTACCTCAGGCTGCCGGCAATCTGTGGGCACTTTTTGCAAGCCGCTGTCCGTCGATGACCGGCGCAGCCACGCAAAGGCCTCGGCTTCAGGAAGCCAAGCGCACAGTGAAGCTGAGTCGGGACCCTCCCATTGCCAAGGGAAACAGACTCAAACAACATGGCCAAACAAATCCTGAGGGTCGACCAAAGCTAGGACTGCCACGCGCGACCTGGGCGCAAGTAAGCGAGCTTTTTACTCAGAGCCAGCAGGTGCGTATCTTCATATATCTGCAATCTACTTATTACGCGACCAGAGCGGAAGCCGTGGCCGACACGTACTTCCAGGTGGCCGGCAGAGACTTCACGCGCTTGTAGTACCTAGCCAGGCGGTGGATACGGCTCTCCACCAGAATCAAGCGGAACTTGGCATCCTTGTCCTTGCGATTCTTGTCCAAGTGCTTTCGGATGGAGACGGCCTTCTTGATGAGGTAGTACAAATCCTCCGGCAGGCTGGGTGCAAGGCCGTTCAACTTCAGGAGGCGCAGGATGTGGTTGCCTGTCACGGTCTTCACCATTGGCACGCCGAAGCTGTCGCGCAGAGTCACACCGATCTGGGAAGGGGTCAAGCCCTTCTTGGCCAACTTGCAGATGTGTTCAGTCACGTCCTCAGGCTTCATCTTCAACCAGCTGGGCGGAGTGCGCTTGTAAGGAATTGCGGAGGAGGCAATGCCCTTGCCCTTGCCGTACATGCGCCCCATGGCTACAAATTACGTTGACTGACGCAAAGTCTACTTGGCTGCTGCTCGTGCCTTCACCCTGCAGACGGTAAAGGACAATATGCAACGCTCAGCTCAATTCGCAAGCTGCATACACACCGATATGCATTGAAGCTCAGCCAGGTAAAAGCCAACATAAACACCACACAAACATTCAATATAGACCCAGCCTTCAATGGCATCAATCCAGCACCTCTAGTGGCTCAAGAAGCCAACCAATTGCCTGGACTGCCTAAAGTGGCCCAACCCTATTGCTGGCAACTGTGCACGCTTCACCTTCGGCAGCAACCCCCCCCCCCCCACTTTTCAAGTGCAGGAGCTGAGCAACTCAGATCCTGTCAGACTTTTTGCCAAGAATTGCAAGAAATCCTGCCAACTACGCCACCAGCGCAGAAGCCGTGGCCGAGACGTACTTCCAGGTGGCCGGCAGAGACTTCACGCGCTTGTAGTACCTAGCCAGGCGGTGGATACGGCTCTCCACCAGAATCAAGCGGAACTTGGCATCCTTGTCCTTGCGATTCTTGTCCAAGTGCTTTCGGATGGAGACGGCCTTCTTGATGAGGTAGTACAAATCCTCCGGCAGGCTGGGTGCAAGGCCGTTCAACTTCAGGAGGCGCAGGATGTGGTTGCCTGTCACGGTCTTCACCATTGGCACGCCGAAGCTGTCGCGCAGAGTCACACCGATCTGGGAAGGGGTCAAGCCCTTCTTGGCCAACTTGCAGATGTGTTCAGTCACGTCCTCAGGCTTCATCTTCAACCAGCTGGGCGGAGTGCGCTTGTAAGGAATTGCGGAGGAGGCAATGCCCTTGCCCTTGCCGTACATGCGCCCCATGGCTACAAATTACGTTGACTGACGCAAAGTCTACTTGGCTGCTGCTCGTGCCTTCACCCTGCAGACGGTAAAGGACAATATGCAACGCTCAGCTCAATTCGCAAGCTGCATACACACCGATGTGCATTGAAGCTCAGCCAGGTAAAAGCCAACATAAACACCACACAAACATTCAATATAGACCCAGCCTTCAATGGCATCAATCCAGCACCTCTAGTGGCTCAAGAAGCCAACCAATTGCCTGGACTGCCTAAAGTGGCCCAACCCTATTGCTGGCAACTGTGCACGCTTCACCTTCGGCAGCATCTTTTTCAAGTGCAGGAGCTAGCAACTCAGATCTGTCAAACTTTGCCAAGAATTGCAAGGAAGCCTGCCAACTACGCCACCAGCGCAGAAGCCGTGGCCGAGACGTACTTCCAGGTGGCCGGCAGAGACTTCACGCGCTTGTAGTACCTAGCCAGGCGGTGGATACGGCTCTCCACCAGAATCAAGCGGAACTTGGCATCCTTGTCCTTGCGATTCTTGTCCAAGTGCTTTCGGATGGAGACGGCCTTCTTGATGAGGTAGTACAAATCCTCCGGCAGGCTGGGTGCAAGGCCGTTCAACTTCAGGAGGCGCAGGATGTGGTTGCCTGTCACGGTCTTCACCATTGGCACGCCGAAGCTGTCGCGCAGAGTCACACCGATCTGGGAAGGGGTCAAGCCCTTCTTGGCCAACTTGCAGATGTGTTCAGTCACGTCCTCAGGCTTCATCTTCAACCAGCTGGGCGGAGTGCGCTTGTAAGGAATTGCGGAGGAGGCAATGCCCTTGCCCTTGCCGTACATGCGCCCCATGGCTACAAATTACGTTGACTCACACAAAGTCTACTTGGCTGCTGCTCGTGCCTTCACCCTGCAGACAGCGCCTGCCTGTTCGGATCGCCGATGCCCCATGCAAGGCGACAAAGCGATGGCTCAACGAGGAGCAAATTGAGCAAACCAGAACCCTTTGCAAAACCACACTTGCCTTCGCACCTTCAAAAACTCCAAAACCCCTGAGCCTTGAGCTTTTCTCTCTGAGCCCTGGACCATGCGAGAACTCGCGCTCGCGACAGGCCGGCCGCTCTGAAAACCGGGTCCTTCTTGGGGCCTGTAAACGATTGCGACATTCAAATTGGAAGTGGAAAAAAAAAGGTCCGGTTTCAGGAATCGGATCCAAGTGGCTCAGATTGCAATGCTCTCGAATTCGAGCCAAAATGCTTGGCAAACGTGCTGGAAGGCAAAGGAGATCGAGTCCATGGCTGCGCGGGACTACATCACGTGTACATGCGATGACCTATAATGACCTATGCCATTTTCGTCGCAAGCCGTCGGTCCGAATGACGGGCCTTGCGCGGGGGGCTGACACGGAACGCGCAAGCTCTGAGCTGCAAAGTCCAAAGCCCTGTGCCCTATGGGTCAGAGAGGGTCAGAATTTGCAAGGCTACCAAAGCAGGTCGGAAAACACCATTCATATAGGGCAAAGGCCCATTCTGTTTGAGCATGTCAATGTAGCTAGGTGCAAGTCCTAGCCTCAGTGATGCAATTAGTCCAGGCAAAGAAAACTTCCGAGATTGGTGGTGTTGGGCATTCTGAGTCTTCGGGCCGAGCCGCATTGAAGCCATGGCTTCTGCCGGAAATGGAAGACCCATAGACCCCAATAGATAATCAAGCCGTGCTTTCCGTGCCCCGTGCTGGCTTCCGTCACGCCTGCCTTTGGCAGAAGTCGGGCCGGGCATGGTGAAACTCGAGACAAGCGGAATGGTCTCTCTGGAGAACGTTAGGGCGGCCTGCCGAGTGGGCTGAAGGTTGTTGAGTGGCCATCAACCTGACCGGTATTGTAACAACCTGCACAAAACTGGACAACTGGCAGTCGCCCTGACCGTTGAGTTGCTTGCTACACCTGTGCTGGTCCAGCGGCAATCATGCTGCCACTGCTTGCTAGATTCCAGCAGATGAGGTGCCACAAGGCCACAGTACCATCTGTGCGCCCTTTCTTGCAAGAAGAGAAGTTCTTGCGTCGAGCATCATGGGGCAATACATCAATAATTGGTCAATTGGGTGCGGACGAGCCTTAAAAGCCCTGGGCACTCCGGCGAGGTTCTGCGAGCCGCAATCGCGGTTGCATCATTCCGATGACCCAAGGTCTCTGTCAAACTGGAAACGACGGCAGTCTTTTCCAGAATGGATCCAGCCGCAATGCAGGAGGAAAAGGCGGGCCGATATGCAAATGCTGAATTCGCGATGCGGCTTGCGCCCATGAGATGCCAAGGCTTCAAGGTGCCAAATCCCTGCGAAAGCTTGCTGACTTGTCGCGAGCTCTCTGAAGTCTGGACGTAAAACTTGGCATCCGGCCGCGTCGCATCCGACCCAGGCAGAGGCGAAAGGTCGGCTCATCTGCTGGACCGCGAGCTGCGCCGCAGGTCTTCGCGCATCTCCATGGTCATGGCCATAGATTTGCTGAGGTCTTCTCCTAGGCCGGTAGGCATGCATGACAAACAACTAAGGAGGCTGCGGGGACAAGGCCCTCGGTTGGGGCAAACAACTCGCAAGCTTGGCTCTTGCAACCTCCGCTGATTGACTTGAAAAGTGGGTTCAACATCGGTGCAAATGAGGTTCATGGCGGCAAAACCCAAAGGGTCGACAGCCGACGAAGCGGCTTAGGGAAAGCTGGGCGGTTCATGCGGGTTGACTCTTAGCTGCCAACAAGCAAGTGCGCCTGCAGCCAAGCCACTATGCATTGGAGCAGGCGGTGTGGTGTAAGTTCCTGCCATATCGCAAACCCTGGACCTTGTACGAAGCCGTAAGAAGCAAAATGGATGCTTGTTTGCTTGTTGCGCCAATTTTCACGTTTGTTTTACAGCTCCCCTATTTTGGGACAAACCTAAATGGAGGAAAGGCATAGCTGAGCCCAGTCCCTGCATGGCGGCTCGCAGCCGCGTAGCCATCAGCAGAAGCAAACACATGGCAGCCGCGCCGAGTAGTCCAATGATCTTGTCCAGCGTGGGAAGCTTGTGCAGGTCATAGTGCTTGTTGTTGGCAAGGCATGCCTCGCCCAGCGCGCATTTGTGCAAGGTGGGCGGTTGGGCAAGGCCCCCCAACTCCAGTCAATGCTCATCCTGGGTGACATACATCCGCCGGCTTCCAAATGCAAGCTGGACCAAGTGGACAGATGCGGCTGCCAAACTGTGATACGCAACAATTAACGCACTCCTTCGGATGTACCTCGCTGCAAACTGGTAGTTTAAGGAGGTCTAGGCCTGGTGAAGCTGAGCATCACGAACTGGCAGTGGCACAAAACACGCACCCATCCAGCAGTTTAGGGATGGGCGCGTGCACGCGTGTGGAATAGAGGGCTTTTTGCTTTTTTGGGCCTTCAGTGATTTGGCTTCACCCTTGCGGGCATCTACGAATCTACGGCAGCGCTCACCAACCCGCCCCACCTGGGAACCAGCCAAGTTGCCCTCACCATGCCATCAGCATGGCCGCACTTGTGGCAGTACATGTTGCCCCATCCGTTGATGGGCTCTTGCTTGCACTCGAGACAGGCATCCTGCGCGTGGGAAGGAATGATTCGAAACTGGCTCAGTAGGGAAGACGTTTTAGTGATTGTCAATCCTACGCGTCGTGTCCAAAGAACCAGGAGAAACTTTGCGACCTGGCACGCTGCTTGCCAGGATTTCGCCTGACTATCAAGTAACACGTTTGTACAAATATATTGAGCAACGACTGGATGAATTTGTCTCCAAATCGGCGAACTTCCAAAAAGATCGAACATGCGCGTTGTCCATGTGATTTCCCTTAAACCTCCAAACAAGGTTTCCTCAAGACACACCCATATCAAAGGAACCAGCCATTCGCCCATGCAGAATTGATCGGGCTTCTGGCTGAAAAACCGGGGCTCCTTCCGCTCGAAGCTGCGACCCCCCACCACCGGGCGCATGGTCGGCAAGTGCTGGAACAGGTCAGGCCGCTCGCACTGGGCGCGGTTTCGATGCAAAAATGAAATGGGGAAGAGAAATCCTGTTCCAAAAGAACTCCGAACCAAACAGCTAGAACATGCTGGCCGCCATAGGGCCGAGCTCAGGAAACTCAACTTAGGGTGATGCTTTGCAAGCCCCGGGACTAAAGGGCTAGAGATGGTATTGCGGAGTGCGTAGAGACCATGAATGGAAGACTATGGGAAATGCTCTGAAATGTTCTCAATTCACTGCCCTTAGTATTAGAAAATGGGCAGAAGAAGGCGTGCACACATGCACATGCGATAGGGAACCGCCTCCAAAACATCACCCCCACAGAAGCCCACATGGTGCCGCCTAAAACCACAAAGACTCCCTGCCTTGATCCGCTCCAGATTGGATACCTCCGACCACGGATTGCTCTCCTCCTCCACGGCTGTCTTGGGCTTGTAGCCTGGTCCATTTCCAAGCCGGGCCAAAACGACCCCTAAACCATCAATTGGCCTCATGGCGACCAAAATTACTTGCTTCCAAGTGGCACGGGAAACTTAGTGAGTCCGAAATTTAGAGCTCGTCCCCCTATGCCCCTCGTAAATGGACCAAAGACCACTCAACGTTTCGACCAAACTGCACATCTGCGCGCAAGGAGTGGCATGCTGCAGTGCCATAGACCAAACTGGGGCTGCGGCCAAGCGAACCTGGGCTGCCGTTCTGTCGGTTGTCCTATGTAGGTTTGGCTTGACTGCATGGTGTGCCCAAGCTAGCACGTCTGCCAGGTATGCCTATTTGCAATGCATTGCAGCTTCACTGACTGGCGGTCTGCGCAGGTGAGATTGTCATGCGAGAGCGGCATTTCGGGCTTCCAAGTGGCGAAACTCTTCAAGTATCTTGTCCAGGTTTCTCCTGCGGCTTGCGCTGAACAGCATGCCTTGTTGGGACTCACAGGCCCCAAGCCCACGGTGGCAAAACGTCAGCTCTGCGGCAATCAGCACTGGACCTGCTAGTGCATCTGCGTGCGCGCATGTGTGCGTGCGTGGGCGGGTGGGTGCGTGTGTGGATGGGTGAACGGGTGTGTGAGGTCAGGGGTGGGTGCGGGCGTGGGTGGGTAGGTGTGTGCGTGTGTGGGTGGGCGCGCGATGGTGCGCGCATGTATGTGGCCGGTGTGGCCGCGGTGTGTCCTGTGTGTCCTGTGTATCCTGTTTCTCCTGTGTCCTGTGTGTCCTGTGTGGCCTGTGTGGCCTGTGTGTTCTGCGTGTGTGTGTCTGTGTGTGTGTTTGTGTGTTAGTTAGTGTGTGTGTGTGTGTGCGCGTGTGAGTTCATTTTTTAGTATATAAGTTAGTGAGTGAGTGAGTGAGTGAGTGAGTGAGTGAGTGAGTGAGTGAGTGAGTGAGTGAGTGAGTGAGTGAGTAAGTGAGTGAGTGAGTGAGTGAGTGAGTCAGTGTGGGGGCCACCGAGCCAGCCAGCCATCCCCACCCACCTTCCCACCCCCACAAACGCAGTAACACACAAACACACACTGGCAAACACACGCACACACACATACACTAACACACGATGCGAGGGCGTGTGGGCGACTGCGCGCGTGCACGTGTGTGTGTGTGTGTGCGCGTGTGTGCGTGGGTGCGTTGGTGCGTGTGCCTGCGTGTCTGCGTGTGCGTGCGTGTGCGTGCGTGTGCGTGCGCGTGCGTGTGCATGTGCGTGTGCGTGTGCATGTGCGTGTGCGTGCATGTGCGTGCGTGTGCGTGCGTGTGCGCGCGTGTGTGTGTGTGTGTGTGTGTGTGTGTGTGTGTGTGTGTGTGTGTGTGTGTGTGTGTGTGTGTGTGTGTGTGTGTGTGTGTGTGTGTGTGTGTGTGTGTGTGCGTGCGTGTGCGTGCGTGTGCGTGCGCGTGCGCGCGCGTGCGTGTGCGTGCGTGTGCG